CTGCCTCCTACCAGGTCCCTCCCCCAACATTGGGAATTACAATTCAACATGAGATTTGGGTGGGGACACAGAGCCAAATCATATCCAAACCTTATCAGACCCACACTTATTTCCCTCCCTCCTTTTCTTCCTCCCTCTCTCCCTTCCTTCTTTCTTTTCTTCTATTAGGAAAGATTATGAAAGACTTTCAAATAGGCAAAAAAAAAAAAAAAAACCCCAAAAAACAACGGTTGCCTTTCATCGTCTTTGAGCTATTTTACAACTCTGTAAGTTGAAGAAAACTTAGACTAATGCAGATTATTCTTGCCCATGGGAGTACAAATGATTGTGTCCAATGACATGCAGTCTATCTTTACCCTGTAGATAGACCAGTTTTATTTCTGTATGTAAGTTGATTTCAGCATTCCTTATTGGCTTTACTGTGGGATTCTCTGAATACTCCTTGCAATGGGTTGTAACATTTGACTGCTTCTATCATAAACTAATGAGTTAAAAATAAAATCTTTGATACATATTCATTTTATATGAGTAAAGAGTTATGATTTTTACCTTAAAAAATGATCTTTTAACATTTTCTTCCTCCTTCCCTTCCTTCCTTCCTGTTAACATTGAATAATTACTATGTGCCAAATTTGGTTCTATTACCTTTTCAAGATTTATTTCTTTTGAATTTCACAAAAACTCAGAGTAGGCATTATATTACCCTATTTTATTTACAAATGAGAAAATTGTGACTCAGGGAGATTAAGAAACATAACTCTGCTTGTAGGAGAGCACTGACTCATCCAGGACTGCTGACTCTGAACCACCTGGCCTAGGACTGAGGAGTTTCCCAGGACACGGACTTTTAGTACTAAAATGAGGAGAGTCTTGGGCAAGCCAGGATGAGCCTATCACCCTGCATAGCTCCAGAAAGCCCAGGAAATGGACTCCACCATGTTTAGCTACAGATGTCCTGTCTTATCTCTCAAGCCCTGCCCAGTACATGCTGGTGTTTTGCTTCAGGGCTGTTGTCACCAAGTTCTTAATGTTGTGTCTGCAAATGCCCCGGATGACTTCACTCTTCCCTATGCTTTTCAAAATATTGGCTGCTTTATGTAGTGCTCCAAGGAGGGCTGTTTTAGTTCCTGTGCAATGCCCTGTGTCTATAGGCCTTTCCTTGCTCGGCCAGCAAAAGCCAAAGGTAGAGTTTTGTTGCTTCCTTCCCTGTTAAGATTCACTTCCTGCCCAGAGTCCGATCTGAAAACAAAAGACCCTTGTTCAGCACAGCTTCCTGTGTAACAACATTAAACATCCCCTCAGCAACCATTATACAGGAATATTATAAGGCAACTGTGCTTTCTATGCCCTAAGCTACAAAAGCACATTGCAAAGTTTTGTGAAGTCTTCCTAAGTGTTGGGGCATACACAGATTTCCTGAACATCCCGGATAACCCCTGGATGGACTGAGAGAAATAGGCCTCAGCTGTTTCTCTTATCTTTGAGGAAGAGAAATATTGGATATTTCCATGCATTGCAGAATTCTATGGAAGTCACTTGGCTGGAAAACCGGGTTTCCCCCATCTCATAGACTGTAACTGCTCTGATCCAGAAAGTGGCTGGAAATTTGCTGTTAAAGAACTCCAAAGGTTAACAGGATTAGACTCCCACCGACCAAGTTCAAAGAAATGCTTTCAGAAGTAAGCAAACAAACAAACAAACAAACAAAATTAATCAACCCTCTAACAACATATATATTTTCTGGATTCAAGGGTGATGACTTCAAAAGCAATTCAGTTAATTCTTTTTTTTCCTTTTCTTTTCTTTTTTTTTTGGCTGAGCCTCACTCTGTCACCCAGGCTGGAGTGCAGTGGTGTGATCTTGGTTCACTGCAACCTCTGCCTCTGAGGTTCAAGCGATTCTCCTGCCTCAGCCTCCCGAGTAGCTGGGATTGTAGGCAGCTGCCACCATGCCTGGCTAATTTTTGTAGTTTTGGTAGAGACAGGGTTTCACTATGTTGATCAGGCTGGTAATTCTTAAAAGTCTCTGTTGCATTAATAGTGAACTCAAAACTTTTTTAAAAAACAAACTTTTAGTGTTTAAAAAAATGACATTTGGGGATAAATTTTGCTTATCAGTTCACTGTTTTCCAGTTACAAAAAGTGCTTAGAAATCAACATTAAGATAACATTTTTTCTGATTACAAAAATAATATATACTGCTTGCAGAAAATTTGGAAAACAGAATAAAAAAGAAAATAATTTTTCATAATTTCATAACCTGAAGATGGATATCTACTACAAAAAATTGAGATCTGACTGTAAATAATTCATTGAGTTTTGCTTTTAGCCTTGACCTTGAATTTAGCTCAAGATCACCACTTCCCAACATGACTTTTAACGGTTGCCCGGTAGGGTTTTGTGGATTTGCCATCATTTACCTAACCAATCTCTTATTGTTGGACATTTATATTGTTTGGAATCTTTTGCTTATAAATAACACTGAACTTACTGAGGCAGATACACCCTGTGCATCTTAGGTCCCTAAGAGGTCCTTAGCAATCCCTAGAAGGGTAATTGCTCCGTGGTCTGAGGTTTTGATTGGGAACATCTGCTAGTCACCTTGAAGACAGTAGGATTTATTAGAAGGATTCTTGACCTGGGAGGCGCCTGGAACCAGGGCGCTCAGGGACTGCAGCTACGTTCCTGGCCCAGAATCAACCTTCCAGGATTGGCTTGGTGAAAGCAGGGCGGGGCCGAGCAGGAGGACTGGGCGTGGACACTGCAGCAGGGCCACCTGGTGCAGGGAGGGATGGTGTGGTGCACTGTGACCCTCATAAATCCAAAGGTCTGGCGGCCAAGGCCAGCAGCTCTCGGAGAGCTGAGATTCTTGGTGCTGGCTGGGCTGCTGGAGACAGCAGGTACCCTGTTCCTTCGGGAAGGTGGGGGCTAGGACTGTGGCTCTTTCTACCCGATCAGACCCCGGTGCGAAGAGGGAGTGTAGCAAGAGCCCAGGCAGGTTGTGGGGCCAGACCACGTTCTCTGTCAAGGTCCAGGACCCCCAGAACCTGCGGTCCGTTGATTGCCAGGATGCCCGGCAGTGGAGCTCGCAGACACTAGCCCTGGCTGAGCATTTATTGACACAGCGCACCCTCTAGTGGTCATTTCCCATGACCAACCGAACAGGCACGGATGATACTCCTTGGTTCAGCCTCTAGCCCCCCAGGTCTGGGAAGTCTGTAGATTCGCATTCTCCTGGGACCCATGAGGCAATGGTTGAGGGTGGGTTACAGGATGGGAGAGTGTCTAGGCCCAACTCTGTCCCTAACTTGCCTGTGTGGCTTTGGCCACATCTCATCCCCCTCTGGGTCTCACCTTGGCCATCTGTGAAATGAGGATGGTCATGCTAGCTTCAGAGGTTTGGCCTGGGGAAGGGGAAGGGCTCTGAGCCTCTGCTCCCCTTGCCCACTTTCGGTAGGCTTGGGACCTAGCGTTGGCTGGAGCAGGCATGTGCAGTGTGGTCAGAAGATTCCAGGGCCACTGGGTTTGGGGTATGATAAAATGTACAAATTCAGAGGCAGGCCCTCCTCCACTACGAAGATCACTCTTCCTACCTTAGGCTAAACAGGTTCCAAGCAGAGGAGGTGACCAGGGTGGCCAAGAGCTCAGAGCCAGGCCCCCTTGAAGGTTGGAGGGACAGAAATTGTCCTATCTGGAGGTGTCTTGGGGAGGGGGAGGCTTCTTGGAGAAGGAAGTAGTGAACAGATTTCATGGGCTCCAGGGATTGGACAACCGTGAGTTCAGGGAGCAGGTACTTCAGACAGGTGGGAAAACAGCTCAAAAACCAGTTGGAAAGGGTAGCATTGGCAGGAATGACTGAGTAAGGAGCACTTCTCCCCGAGAAAAGCAATGAGAATACTGGCCAAAATTGTCAAAACCAACTTTTTCAGAACTCTGAAAACTAATCAAAAACTTGCAACAATCCAAGGTGTACCTATTTTTTTTTTTTAACAGGTAAATGTTGGTGAGAACAGTGAGCTTGATGGCATTGTCCTTTTTTTTTTTCTTTTTTTAATAGAGACCGGGTCTCACTATGTTGCCCAGGCTGATCTCAAACTCTTATATTCAAGTAATCCTCCCTCCTCAGCCTCCTAAAGTGTTGGGATTACAGGCATGAGCCACCACATCTGGCAGAGCTTGATGGCATTTTAACTTGCCCTAGTCCCATCCCCTTCTCCTGAGACCTGTGGTAGCCTTGAAACCCAGTGGTTTCATAATCATGGTGGAAATCAGCAGCCTAAAGACAAACAGAAAGATCAGAACAGGGTTGGAGCTTCTGCAAAGTCCAGTTCCCAGATAACTGTCATTATTCAACTTGTCTGGTAGTTCCCTGGAAGAGACTCCACTTGCAAGGCTGTGTTCATTTGACCTGACTTGGTGCCCATTCAATGCACACAGCCTTTTCTCTGAGGTTATTTGTTGCAAGTAATCAGTGGCAATTGTTTAACATTGCAGCTGCCTGAGGCAGTGATAATGGCTGGGGCCAATAAGAAGCTAACAAAAATTTTAAAAGGAAAAGTTGAGGAATGAGCTCTCCATAGAAGGCTTTGAAAAGCTTTGGCATATTCCTAGGAATCTACAAATGTTCCCTCTTCTGTAGGTTCCTCTGATGATGATGGTGTGCATGCATATGTGTATGTATGTGTATTTGTGTGTGCATGTGCATGCTTGTATGCATGTTTATATGTTTGTGCATGTGTGTGTGTTTCACAAGTGCTCTATCAGCTCTAGAAATGGAAGAATCTCAAAGGTTTTCTTTCCCTTTTTTTGAGACAGGATCTCACTCTGTTACCCAGGCTGGAGTGTAGTGGTGTGTTCAGAGCTCACTGAAGCCTTGACCTTCCAGGCTGAAGTGATCCTCCTATCTCAGCATCCCAAGTAGCTGGGACTGCAGATGCATGCCACCATGCCTGGCTAATTAGTTTTTTTTTTTTTTTTTGGTAGAGATAGGGTCTCCCTATGTTGCCCAGGCTGAAGATTTTTCTTTATTTAGGTATAAAAAAATACAGTACTTGTCATGCACCAGTGTGGCCAATATATAGTCATAATCTGTAGAGCAATTACTACAATTATAGAAAATAGAAGGTTACAGGAATTGTTTTTCCAACTAAAAAACCTGAAGTAATATTGTTAACCTAAATAGCAACCTGCTTATTATGCAAAAACCCTTATTCTATATATCTGTGAGAGCTAGAAACTTGTAAGTATCATTAGTAAAAAAATCATTATAAGAAACTAGTTATTGGTTAAAACAAAAAAGTCAGTGTTATCTACAATCCCTTGCAGTGTGAGGGGCTTTGCCCAGAGTGGGAACCTCAGTCCATGATGAAGGGTGAGCTGGATGTCTCCTTCCCTGCTCGTCTCTGTTGACTGATGCCACTTCTCCAAGGTGTGTTTGCAGTGAAACGTTCCAGTGGAAGATGCTCGGTTGATCACAGAGGTTGGGCAGGGCAAGGCCTTGCCTTCTGCAAGGTGTGCCTGAGGTTCGATTCCCTGAGATGTGACAACAGCGAAGTGTAAAGGCACATGGCTGGGCTCTGTCATGCAGTCATGAGTGGGTTTGGACATTGGCCAGTCTTGCTAAAGGCCACATCTTGGGTTCCTCTAAACCAAGGGATAAGGAGTAGACAGAGAAAAGAAAGAGGGCATGGATTGGCGACTAGGTGAGGCAGAGAAGGGGAGAGCTGTCTGCTCTGGGAATATCTGCCCCTTCTCAGGCAAAACTGGAGGGGTGCTGAGGAGTCTCAAAGCAAGGTCTCAGCTCTTTCAGGCCTTCTCCAGAGGGGATGGGTGTGGAGGTGGTCCTCACCCTGTGATCTGTCCCTCTTGATCTCCACCGCCCCTCCAGGATGAATTCACAGTTGCTTCGAAGTTCAACAAGCCATTTCCCTGAATGTGGTTCAGTGCTCAGTACAGCACAGTTACTGGCATGGCAGGCCAGTGAGGTCACTTCAGGACCCAAGGTCAGGAGCTGCCATGGGGCCCCTTCTTCCCTCTTGGCAGGCCTGGAGAGGGGCTGGGGAGTGGTGGGGCACTTGGAGTGGAGTATGAAGGAGTTGGAGCAGGGCCAGGGCTCTTGAGAGAGGGCATGATGGACGGTCACAGTCTCCCTTGGGAATGGGATGCGGAGAATCCTGCCCCACAAGTCAAGCCGTCCAGGCCTTTGCCTCCAGGCAGATAGGGACCAGGACCTCACCAGCCTCACCACGGCATTCAGGGACCCTAGAAAAAGACCCTCCAGCAGTTGAACACAGGCTGTTTTGCTTTGCAGCCTTGGGGAGCCAGAGGAAGTCTTTGAGTTAGACGGCGGTCTGTGGGTGACAGGGTTATGTGGATGTCTGAGCCTAGACAGAACACTAGCCTGGATTTGCCAGCATTTGAGAGTAGTCATCACTGACATATGTTCCCGGATATTTCAGGAACCTGGAGTTTGCTATCCCAAGGCTGATGAGGTCTCTGGGACCCAGGAGGAAGGGGTGCTGGACTGGGGAGTCAGTGCCATTTTTGGAGGCTGTGGTGCCTAGGGTCTGACTGGCCTGGGCTGCAGGGGGTTTGGGCCCCCAGGCCCAGAGTGGCCTCGGCCACCTAATACAGCAGCTCCTCCCGGGGGTCCGAGCCGTACAGCTCAGCCAGCATCTTAAACCTGGGTCCCCAGTCGTTAAGGAAGTCGTAATCTACGTCAGAGTCGGACGAGTCGGTGCCCAGGGAGCTGAGGGACTCGGCTATGGACTCCGAGCCCTCGTAGCCGTAGATGTGCAGCGTGTCGTAGGGGGGGCCATCGCCGTCGTGGTCCGCCTCGTCCTTCTTCACCTCGATCATGGCTGCCATCTCCCCGGGCCCCCCGTGTGCCCCCGGCGCGTGCC